CACACACACACACACACACACACACACACACAGCTTTCCACACTGGGGACTTATAGACTCACACTTCTCACACACTCATCCTTGAACTCCACAGTCAGTGTACACACTCTTCACAGCCCATACAGACAAGTCCACACAGCATTCTCCACACAAACGCAGTCCATGTACACACACACACATGTCCTGGGAAAGAGCAGCGAAGCATGAGGAAAGTAACTACAGTCACATCACTCTTGCAAATACCTTTTGTTTTTATCTTTCTCATGCTTTTCTTTCTCATTTTTTAGGAACATCTAAGAATTTTTCTAAGACTCTCCCACTCTCCCCAGAGAAGACACACCTTTTGATTGCCCAAGTAATGGTGGGAGATTGGACTGGGGTGTAGCTCAGTGGTAGAGCGCTTTCCTAGTAAGCACAAGGAACTGGGCTCAATTCCCAGCATCATACAAAGCAACATGAGTGATAGTTTCCTTTTTGAAGGAGAAAGGAAAAATTTGAAATACACTCAGAGTCCTCGTCCTTTTGATTCATCAGATCTCCTCCTGTGGCAGAATGCCGCCCCCCACCCCCTGGAGGAAGGACTGTCCACTTCTTCATGGATAATACTTCCTGCCCAGGCTTGGTTTGGGGAAGTAATAATAGGAAAGACATATTTTTATTTAAAAATATTCTTTTAAAGTACAAAATGAAAAAATAACCTTTTAAGGGAATTCCAATGCCAAAATTTAAAAAACTGGATGTCTCCCTCTTCACACTACAGGAATTCACTTATTCACTCCCTCACCTGTTGTCTCCCTCGCTTCTCAGTTGAATTTACAACAACCGTTTAATTGAAAAGTTTAGAAATGCAGCTACAAATAATAGTTAATAATGAAAATGTGAATGTTTATCCTTTGTGGATAAAGATGCATCACTTCATATTTAAAAATAATTTAAAAATAACATTCTGAACTTTTGTCTATAGATGAGTGTCTTTGGTGAGATGATTTTCAAGTTGTGTCACAACACTGTTATACACCATCAAGCACCAGAGGTTTTGCTTTAATTGTTTTGGTTAACAAATGGGAGAAGAGAAAGGACTGATATTTTGAGGACTTTCTATGTACCAGGTGCTTTACTTATGAAAATCCTTTGAGGTGAGTATTGCAGCCATTTTACCGATGAAGAGACCAGGGTTCTGAGAGATGGAGTAATTTGCTGAAGAGTGACAGGGCCAAACCATTAATTATGTCTGGTGTTGTAGCAGGATTAGCAAGGGAAATAGGTTTAATACAGGACACATAACTTATAGGGTTATTTTATAATAGTCACCCAAAAAGTCAAATACAGAGGAGTGCAAGAGATCTAGCTGTGCACTAAAGATCCAAAGAATCCAGCCAAGGACCTAGATCCCATGGCAATGTCCCAGACAAGTCCATCTGAAGGCCTAGAGCCCAAGGCAATGTCCTCTGCGAGTCCAGCCAGTGGCCCAGAGTCCATGGCAATATCTCATGCTTCTCTGTATTGAGGATCTGCACTGGGAAGGCCCAGAGTCCAGAGGTGGAAGCCAGAAAGCCTACACTGGCAAAGTGAAGGATCTGTGCCACCAGGCTGAGAGATCTACTGGAGCCAGGAAGTGATGCTTGAGGTGAAGATCAGCCATTCCCAGGGAAAGTGAAGACCTGAGCTCCTCCTCTGACGAGAACAGCCAAGTTCACATCAGGAAAGCCAACCACAGCAAGCTTCTAGAAAATCAACAGCCCATGATCTTTTCCTCTAGTTCTCTTTTTATGCAATGGGCAACAGTCCTTAGGTGGGCCTTCCACACCCAGACCACACTGGTTCAGTTTAGCTGGGTGTTCCAAGTTGACTATTAGTTAATCTATCACATCTGGCTTCAAAGCGCTTTCTTTTCCATTCCATTACCACACTTGCTGCTCAAAGTTGTTTAGGGCAGAGTCTCTGGCCAGGGTGCTGATGGGACTTTTATCAGTTTCTGGAAAGAATGTTCCTGATTCACTGTCTCACACACCTCAATGATAGAATTATTGTCAGTCTCCTATGTGCCTAATACACCATCCCACACTGTTGGCTAAAGCCATCTTCATAAAAACAATGCCTAAATAGAACAAAGCCCTCATAGTCTCAAGCAGACCGATCTTTTTCTGAAATGTTAATTTATTAACATTTCCTCAAATATATGCAATATAAATATAAGATAAAAACAGAACCTAGTTCTTAGAAAGTGCAACCTAAAGCTTTCATCACTTGAGCTTTGTGATTATAATGTGCTCAGCCTTTGTTCTTCCTGAATTTTAGCAAATGTGTTCAAAACAAACTTAGAGTAACACAGAATCTCCCCTAAATACAGTTTCATTATTATAAAAGAAATCCAAAGAGAAGCCTCTAATGTCTTCATTCAGGTACCTGGAATTTCAAAATGGAAATAATTATTGAATGAGCAAGCAGTGCTTTTCTATCACACCCTGACAGGGGTAAGCGATTTTGGGCTGAAACTAAGAGATAGCCCCCTACATAGGCCTTGTTACCTTGAATAACTTCCATTCACCTTGTACAAAACTCGCTTCAAGAGCAAATATTCTTGAGTGACCAAGTCATGTTTTTAGGATCACCTTTTTATAGGAGTTGATCATGGGCCACACAGTAAAAACCTTCTATGGGTCAGGCATGGACAGAATCTGCACCCAAAACAGCAGCACCAGGTTCATCCACAACAACACGTGTGAGACCCACGAACTCCTCACTCCCAAAGCAGTCAACTCCCCAGGAGTCTCGGCTTCACTTCTAACACGTGCATTGCCTCTTCCCTCTTCTTGTGATGCGTTGAGCTCCAGCCCTGCAACCTAAGTGTGCACTTCTTTTGAATTAACAGGGACTGACTTTTAGCAAATCACAACGATACCATAGTTGGAACAGTGTGAACATGTGCTTTCCACACTGTGTGCAAGTCAGACAAGCCTACAACCAACTATGCTTTCAGTTAACTTTTAAAAGGTATAAAAGCTGAGCATGGTGGCACAGGTCTGTAATCTCAGCGATTAGAGAGGCTGAGGCAGGAGGATTGTGAGTTCAAAGCCAGCTCCAACTACTTAGCAAGATCCTACCTCAAAATAAAAAAATGAGAAATGCTAGAGATGTAGCTCAGTTGTAGAGTTCTTGGCTAGTATATGTAAGGCCCTGGGTTCAATCCCAGAAGCCATTAAAACA